AAGGTTTAGAAATGCAACACAGTCATTAAATATGTCATCTTTCTTTCCTCCTGGACAGTACCAGGCGATCTCGACAACCCCATTCATAAGCATGCTGTTTGGAGCACTGCCTTTACAGTGCCGATTGAAGAACACATTGTGTCTCTGTTTGCTAATGACAGAATTCATAATTTGAGATTTGGAGGTGAAAGAGGTCCCCAGCCTTAAAAAAGAGACAACTGGCACCGGTGTGCTAAACATTTGTCTGGTTTGGTATTTTCCAGGGTTGTCTGCGCTTGAGTTTGTTATACTTTGCCATGATTTTTTGATGTGCCGTAAAGGCCAAAAAGGGAATTCCAGGCCTTCTGTACCTTGGTTGGGAACTAAGAAAGGTAGTGCAAACTGGCACGTGGAGAGTTTTGTGTACATGTACTGTCTTAGAAAGTCGTTGGCACAGTGGAAGACCGCCATGTGGATATCCATGGGATGGATGTGCGACTCTGTGTCTGCCAGATCTGCTCCACTGGTTAGCTCCTCATTTGTATTAAAGAAATCAAAATCATCAAAGGTTGTACCATCATCTTCTAGAGGTGGATCAGCTACTGGTTTAAAAGATAGATACCTGACATTGTAGTCTAAAATCATGAGCTTATAGAGATATTGACTCCTTAGGTCTTGTACTCTATATGGTTGATTTATATGCATAGATAAACGGTCTATAACAAGAATATCATTCAGTTTAATCTTTTTGGGAAAAAGGTCACTGAGGCCAAGTTTTTTTAATAAATTGGTAGAGTTGTTCATTTCTATTTTGTTAGCTGTTAAATTGTTAAAATCGGTTGTGTCTTCAGATAAAGACACTTGATAAAGATAATCCAAGGTTTCACTTCAGGGTGTATAATTTTTGGTGTCAAATATTCCCTTTTTGAGCCTAGAAAATAAAAGAATAAAAGAATTTCAGTCTAGAAAGATTCTGCCATATTTTTGCAAAGAAAAATAATGAGGAGCGGTGGATTACAGGTCACCCTGACTGACACATCACCACTACAGGGAAGAGAATAAAGGTTAAATATATTTAAATATTGTCTGTCTAAAAAATGCTTATGCAAATATTTTTTTATAAGTTAAAATGGTTTTGATTAGAATATACAAGCAGCACTTCCTGCAGAAGATGCAGGTACGATATAAGTTTGGTGACAATATTTTCCCTGCATATTTCTTTCCATAACACCCACATAATAGCAACACGCTTCAGAACTATTCTAAATAGCATCTGCTACTGATAATGCCCCCCCCGCTAAAATATGACTGTTTCCCACATGTGCAGAAATCAGATTCTTTCAATCTCAGCTTCACCACCAGCACCTTGATTACTAATGTTCTGTTATTTTTTAATTTTCTCTCATTTTTGTTTTAGCTAAAAACCAGCTCAAGTGGTCTCAAACATTTATACCAAAAGCTAATGAGGGATAATGATGTAATTTAAGGACAGCAATGAAAAAGCCAGAATACAAATAAACCAAGCCATACTACCTTCACGTTTGGAGAGTAAGAAGACATACCATGACATAAGAATTCCTGCAAGAAACAGGAGAGAATTAGATACTGGTAAATTCTATACTGCTTGAAAACAGACCATATCATTGGATCACATTACAGTTTGCGCTTCAATGTGTTATGATTTGCTGCGGGCAAGTCAAGAAGGGAAGCACGGGAGTCCATAGGTACGGGGTAAACTTGGCTTTATTGGGGAGAAGCAGCACATACGGGAGAGACGGGAAGTAACGACAAACAACGTCAATGACAGGACTAGGGAGGAGACAGACTGAACGTGGACTTAAATACAAGAGACAAATCAGAAATAACGCAGGACAGCTGGGTACACTGGGATATAACACGAGGTAAACGAGGGGGGCATGGCACACAGGAGGATCGGACGATCGGGCATCACACAATGCCTAATACTGCTTCATGGTTATCTTGCATGGTTACCAGTTCTAGTGTTTTATAATGAATGTCTTAGCGGATGTGAACACAGATAATTTAATGTTGCCTAAAGAATTTTCCTAACTAGATGAAGATGATGATGAACCACCAGCTCCAAAGAATTCAAGGATTTCAACCACACCAAGATGTGAGTTACCGTATTCGCTAAAAACCGGGATTCGGAAATGGCCAGCAGGCATGAACAGATAAAGGGCAGGACTTCTGCGCTTCAAATTCAACAGCAAATGCAGGCACCCAAGTGAGCCCCTCTGCCTCCTGGGTGCCTGATATTGAAGGATCATGTCAACATACCTAAGACAGCTTTCTGCACCAGGGACAGGTCAGAGTTCCTGCTTTGGTCTGTGCAACGCGCTCATGGGTGGATGATGGACAGGGTGCTTGCTGGCATCCCCCATCAGGAGTGTCTCATCTGTCTGAACAATGTCCCTCTTCAGAGGGCATCCTACCAGAATACCTTCCGCACATTGCAGCATGTGCTTAGGGAGGGTGGCTACTGCGGGTGTTAAGCTGCACCCTAAGAAATGCCCCTTCATCAATAGGGAGGTTGAGCTTTTGGGCACCAGGGTGGGGGTGATACTACACCATTAGTGGTGAGCGATACTACAAGATTTGGTATCGATGCGATACCAAGTAAATACAGGGAAAGTATCGCCAATACGATACCGATATCGATACTTCTTAATAATTAAGGTGGATGTATTATCAAATTGTTAAAGCTGAATTAATTTTCATTACCTTTAAGTATTTTTGTGATTTTTTTTTTTTTTTTGATTAATTAGGTAAAACCCAGGACAGAATCTGGGCAAAGTTTATAAGTAAGTAAATAAATAAATAAATAAATAAATAATAAATACTGTAGTGCTGAGGTACCGGCCGGCAGCGTGGCATGTTGGACTTAGGGCTGGGCGATAAAACGATTA